TCAACATTGTCTGATCAGCCTTCAGCAAAATAAATGCAGTCAGGTTTTTCTCTGGTTACCCCCAAAGCCGCAAAGTATTATGGGTATGGTAAGAAGAGAATTGGGGACCTATTGTTATGTACTCCAAACTAAGCTTCATTCCGACGTGCTACAAGGGGTCTATAGCATGTCATTTTATGGAACTTAGTTTTAGGGAAAAATTCCTGGATATTAAAATTATGAACCATAAAAAATAATGAACTAGAAGCCAGAGAGAGCACCGAAGCTCGAAGGGCTTGTTTTAGCTCTGTTACGTGCTGCGAGCCTTCGTCCATGAGTTCGCCAGCAAAGCTCATGCGCCCTAGACACTAATGGCCGATTTGTGATAGAAAACGAAAAGCCCATTTCAGTATATCTCGGCCGGCTTTCCACTGGAATCTAAATTATAACCAAAAACGTAAATATTTAAAAAGGAAAAATGCGTGAACTTTAAGTCACTTCCACATTTATCAAGTGATTAATTGAATACGGCCTTGTGTGGCTTGATGGTGAAATCGGTATGAAAGTTGCGGATTTAAAAATATTCGATTAAAAATATCCGTTTGTGAACTTTTAAAAGTGCTGGTATTGCCGTTAAAGTTGTGTATTATTTTCTTTACATTTCCTATTTGAAATGTGAATATTTTAACGCTGATATGAGGCCAACCCTAAGTAAATGAGTCTGTGATCGAGGAACATGGAAGTGTTTTACGAGCTGGGTCACATGCATCAGCCGGATCGTCTTTAGTGCAGGGATATTGAAGATTTCCATAGATTGATTAATTCAATGACATCCTCAAATGAAGGTTTTACATTCAATTTTCCTTGTTTTCTTAACTCCTCGGCCGCACTTTTTGCTTCTTCTTCACTAAGGACTTTGGGATGCGCGGCTTGGTTTCTCTGGTGTTGTATTCGCTTTATCGCTTTTATCGATCGTTTGTTCTTCTTCCAATCTATTTTACTTTGCAACTCTTTCCACCTCCTCTTGGCATCGTTTTGCTCTTCTTCACTGAGTAGGACTCTATCATCGATATCGTCTATAATGTCCTTAACTTTATAAGGACGATGCTCAACGTGGCAGCGCTTCGGCATGACATATCGATACCAGTTTGTTTGCAAGTTTGAACAAAGTTGCCCAATGTACAAAATGTGCTGATTTTCTTCTGTACAGTAGCTAACATGCTTTTTATACTCATTTAGTTTACTTTCCATTTTTGAATGTTCCGTTTTAAGTTTATCTACGTCATTTTCGAAGAAATTGTTTAATTCGTCCATTTCTCTAGTATGATTATCTTCTAGTTGCCTGATCTTGACAGACATTTCGTACCTCAAAATATTTATATTCTCCTCACTCTTAGCAATAGCATCTTTCATGCTGTTTTGGTGGTTCTCATGGTTTTCTTTCATTTCTTTGATCTCTTTCTTCAACTCACGTATGTCACTTTTAAGCTTGATTATTTCGTTTTCCAACTGATCCCTTTTTTGATTGAGATCTGCTATTTCTTTTATTAATTCTTCTATTTGCTCATTCTCTTGTTCTAGTTCCTCTATTCGATCTTTCAACTGTATTGTTTTCCCTTCTCTTTTCTCTAGTGTTCCTTGCAGTTTCACTACTTTCTGAAGGTATTCTCTTTTCTTTTCGACCTCTTCCTTTTCTCGCTTTAGATCTTCCATGTCTTTATTGAGCTTTTCTATGTATCCTCTATTCCGATATCCACTCAGCTTTATTTTTTCGTTTTCTGTTGTCTGTGCTTTCAAAACTGTAAGTTTTTTATTCATTTCCTTTATTTCCTCTATAAGGTGTTTCTCAGGCATGTTAAGTTTGTCAGTTCTTTTTTTTTTTTTTTTTTATCTGCTTCTGCGAAAGGCAAATTTAAAAGAAAGGCCTGGTGTCGTCACTTGTTTACGAATACTGAAAATTTTTCGTTTTCTGTTGTCTGTGCTTTCAAAACT